CAGATGGCTGGGACCCCTGTTTTAGAAATGATCTAAGATAGCTATTCACAGCAATCCCCCAGCTGGGGGTCAATTTGATCAAATTCTTTATTAATGTATGGGTCACAAATGAGTCTGAAGAACAAGAAGGGCTTAGGTCACCACCACCCTTTCCCCCAGCACCTCCCCACCTGACGTGGGATGCCATGGCATTCTGCATATAGGGACAAGGTCACAATTTAGTCAAGTCACATCTACACCATTGCAGTGCATGCAATTTTTAAAAAGTAGAAAAAAGGAGAAAAGCTTAGTTATTCCTAAACTAAATAACCCATAAATGTCAAGGGCACTTGAAGGTAATGAATTGTTAAATTAAAGGGTGTTTGGGTGTTATTTGTGATTAGGGCGAGGGAGTGGGACTTGGCTTTAATTTACAAACAAATTAGAAAAATAAATAAATAGACTCAGCATTGCTATTGTAACTGGAAATGGCTTGGGAAGATTTAATCCAACTCCCCTGAGAATACTTGATTAATCTCAGACCTGGGAGGAAAATCAAGATAAGATAGGAAGTCTCCATCTCTAAGGGCAGAGGAACTTGGGGCCTCCGGTGCCCACAAAGGGCATCACATGACCCCTCAGGGGATCCATTTCTCTGAGTTCCCTGCTTCTCTCCTGGTTCTGGCCTCAAGTCCATGAGAAATCTGTCCCAAGCTACCGGCCTTTACTGCCTGGCCCTGAGTTGGAGACCTAACCCCCAGGATAGCCTAGAGATGAGACAAATAGGAGCCCCAAATTTAAGATGTAGCTCAACCTTTGACCACTAGAGGTCTCCTGAAAAGCAGTGACCCGTATAACCCGGTTTATCCTTCAAACCAATAGACTTGTTGCACTAAGACTTGGCAAGCCTGCTCTGCTGGAGGCCGCCTTATGAATAACGCTACCCACCCCCTCACTATGGCGCCAGGCTTGCCAGGGGGAGGAGACTAGGCGGTGGCTGACCCTCAGAAAGGGCTGGCTTTTCAATCCACGAATCAGTCTCAGCTTCTGGGGCTACCCTACTCGAACCCCATTTCTTGACCGAGCAGAACGAGAGAGAGCTCCTAACTCGAGGTCCCCAGGTGGGCATTGCGGAGTCCCACGGCCTTCCAACACGCGATAGGCTAGCCAAGGGACCAACGTGCAGAATCACCTAGCATCAGATCCACCAGCAGGCCAGAATCCTCTCCCGCCCGCCCGCCCCCCCCATCCTCCCCCGCTTCGCCCCTCTCTCATTCCTCCCCGCCCTCCTTTGCCTCGGGGTCGCCAAAGTGATCCGAGTTTAACCAGTGGAAGGAGATAAGGGAATCATTCACCTGCCCTGTTCTGATCCATGCGGTATTTTCTGGAAAAATTAGAGGCTTGTAGCTGGAAGAAGAAAGAAAAAAAAGGGGGGGAGGGGTGAACGAGGGGGAGCAAAAAAGGAAACAGCCAGGTTGAATTCCCAGTCTTTATCAAGCAATTCGCTCACCAATGACAGAGCGCTGCAGTGGCAGATTCGAGCCACATGCGGTAGTGTGTAGCAATTAGTAGATAAAATGCTGACTAAAGTGCTAAAACATGAAGTATTATTGTAGCCAAGGTCAAAAATGCTTCAGTTGTCTTTTGCAATTTGGGGGAGGGGGAGGCCCAGAGGTTCGCAGAGAGGTTTGGATTTTGGAAATGGTCGCCTTCTTTCTTCAAACTGTACTTTTTTTTTTTTTTATGGTCCTGTTTATTATAGTCCAAGCTGCCTAATTATGTCACTGCTGGTTTTTGCAACTAACTTAATCCTCCTGATCCTTTATGAAACGATTCATGGACACTGAATAATGAGTCCACCGTTCCCTTGGCCCCTAGAGGGGTGAGACTGATTTTTAATTTTTTTATCTTTTAAAAACCACATAGCTGAAAAGAGTGGGGTTTTTGGCTAGCTAAGCAGCAGGAATATATATATGTAGGTATAGGTTCCTGTGTTTCAATATAAGAGCCCAGAAATAGTGGATCATATAAACATACACTGCTCCCCCCACCACCACTCTTTTATACACAGTGAGTCCCAGCCTCAAGCTTTTTTTTTTTTTATAGATAAATAGAGCAGTTGCTTTCATGATTATAACTGTCCTGAATGGATTGTCTCCTTACAACATTCAATCTGTTTATGAGTATTTACTTTACATTAGCCCAGGGACCCTGCACGGCAGGAGTTTGCCTCTATTCCCCTGGGTGTCGGTGTCTCAAGACTTACATCTGCTCTGTGATTGATGGAGCCTTGAATCCACGTTATTACTCTCTCACAAGCAGAAATCAAACAGGCTATTAACTACATTACTTCAAAGAACTGTTTCAGTACAATCTCCTTATCTTAATTGAAAGTTTCTTTGTATGGATATTTGCTACACAGATAATTTACAGGTGCCTATCAAGCATCATACTAAAGGGGTAAAATAAAAGGGGGCTTTTTGGTGAGTTTTTTTTTGTAAACGCACACCACGGTGATCTATGATTTTAAAAGCCATTCACAGTATTGGACCCGAGGTTTGATTTATTACATTTTATTATGTTCATGGGGATGGTGGTGATGGTGCTGTAAAAAGAGAGGGGAGACACCCCTGTGATTCAATTTTGAAATTTACCATTCATCTGATTGCAAGACTGCAGATTTCAAACATATTCAGACCTAGATCCCTGCAATTGTTAACATCACAAAAACCTTATCGGGAGTTTGCGAGAAGAGAGATTACGCAGCATGCAGCCTAGTTCAGCGCCTACCTTGAGCAGACATAGAAACAGGGTTGCTAATTAGATAAAGTCCCTTACAGATGCTTAAAGACTTATAGCACCACAAACAGTAGAAGTTGCTTAGATGCTGTAAAGAGCTGTGTATTTTTTGAGAGATTTAATATACAATTGAGGGATACCCTCAGGCATTCTGTTGAGGTTTCCTGCACAAATGCTGCTGCATTGGTCATACAGGAAACTGACTCAGAGTCGATCTTATATATGATCTTGTCAAAATACTGCAACTCAAGTTTTTTAATATAGGATTACTTGAACTGAATATATGTATTTATGCTAACACGACAGACTAACTGAAGCCTTAGGCATCTCTCATGTATTTAAAAAAAATATGTAAAATGCCCCTCAGTCAAGTCCATTCATATGTTAAAAAAATGAACAAAATGGGTTATTCTAATCAAATGTCTGCAGTATGCATCATAAAGTTAAAAAGAGAGAGAGCAGAGCGGGAGAGCTGTAATTTCTCTTTATAACCCATGTTTATAAAATAGAAAGATCAGATGAAATTTCAAGGAAGATAATTAAAGAGTGATGTGCAAGTCATAATTTGGCTAATGGAAAAGCTGGGAGACTGTGAATTGTTATATTGTCCTCCTTCATGATGCAGAGTTGTGATATTACTTTAAATTATTAAAATAGTTTTCGACATCTTTCAGAATCCGGCTGTTTGGCATGGGCTTTTATTACTTATTGTAATTGGAGGATCTGCCATTTTCTTCCGTTTATCTCTGTGTGTATAGGAACGAGATAGATCTTGCCTTTTATTACTTCCCCATGTTCTGAATCAAAAATGTGGTTTAGATAATGTTAAGTGCCCTAATTCTTACTGCAGCGGACGCAGACGTTATGAAAAGGCATAAAAATACACACAGAGGGTCTTTCCACCTCAAGTCAACTGAATATTTGTGCTCTGCCGGGTGCATTAACTTCAGCCATGTGAATATAATTTTCATTAAAGTAATCCTGTTTCAACTAGATGCTGTGACTAGAGGTGAAACGTTGCGAAAGCGTTAAAAATAGCTTACTAGTAATTTCAACATCCTGTAATTTTATCACAGATCAAGTTTCAACTGTCATACTATACAGACCTTATTCCCCATATAGTACATGTTTACTTTTTTAGCACGCCAGACCCACTTTGGAAAGATTGGTGCCAATATAATAAAATCATCGGGGGTGGGGGGTGCTGGAAGGAGTGGGAGGAGAGCGGGGGAGCGGGTGGGGGAGCGCGGGGGAAGCGAGTACACCATTTTACATCAACACTGCGAAAATGCAATCTAGGCTGGCGGAGGACCGGCAGCTGGGTCGGAGCGAGCGAGCGAGGGCTTTGCAGTCTCTGCCTGTTCCTTGTTCTGTCGCTCTTAAGTTTCTCTGTGTTTGCATAATAGCCGTGCATGCAAACCTCGCAATTCTCCAGGGCTCCAGAACAATAAATATACACATTTAAAGCCTTTATTGTCTTACGGTTCATGCCCCCGGTTTTCAACAGCTTAATTTCTGGTGGTATTTAACTAGTTGGCAAATGGATTTTTTTTTTTTCAGTTTCAAACTATTATTGAGGAAGCTCCCCCTCCCTCTTTTGGCGGGGGAGGGAGTGGGGGTGGGGTAGGAGTCGGTATATTATTCCTGTAGCGCTGGGTTATATAAACACATTATCATTTGAGAGCGCCCTTGGCGTCCATCAGCATTGTAAACACGTACTAGTGTATATACTTCAAAATTAAAGAATGCACATGCAGAACCGGGAGCCTGAATTCATATTCCGAGCAGACTCGCTGCTCGCATTTATTGATTTATCATGCATCGTTTATTGTTCCAGTCCCTAAATGCAGTCTCTGTCCGTTCAATATTGTTGGCAAAATCCTGAGATGTGTGTGCATTGCTCACTTGTCTTTCTGGTCTTTTTATTTATTTATTTTATGCTGAGTTTTTTTTTTTTTTTGCGAAGCGAACAAATGCATTAATATTTATATGTTTATATAATCGATAACCCACTTTCCCCTTCCATGTAAATAGGCATCAAAAGATAATTTAACAGATTAGTTCTCGAAAACATGGCAGTGAGGAAGCGTAATTTAACTATCAAACAAATCTACATGTCTAATAACAGCAAATCTGCTAAGGAGCATTAGAAAGAGGAGCAGCGCCCCGGAATCTCTGCAGGAAATGTTCTTTATATTAGACATATACAAGCAGGTCCTGTCAGATGCACAGCGGAGCTCGTCAACTCTCGTCTCCTCCAAAAATCTCATCAGCCGACACCCATAGACAAGGGAGATGGGGCAGAGGGAGATCTCATCTTCACACAGTTTTGGGGTGGATTTTATTTTTACAGACCTTCCTATATGTTTTTTGCCTTGATCCATCCGCTTCCCGCCGAGATCGGACGGAGCCTTTCTCCCGGTTATGAATTTGATCAACGTACATTTGGAGGGAATCCTACACAGTTCTGACAGGAGCTTAAAATTGAGTCGTCAGAGAAATATTAGGACATATTTTCAATCATTTTGGTGCCGAAGGGGAGGCAAGAACTCAGTTTTATATTGAGACATTACGCCGGCTGAAGACAGAGAATGTTTTTCCCTGCCAGGACCTGATGCAATCCATTCAAGCCAACAAGTTTGGAGAGAATGTTGAGTTCAATCAATTCAGAACGTCGAGATGGAGCCCAACTCACTCCAGGTATTTCGCTCTCCTCCGCTCCTCCGATCCCGGCACCCCCCGGAACCCCCCAGCCCCCCAGCTCACCCACACCTCTACACCCACCCACACCCCCCACAAACTTTTCACCAAACTTTTACCCTCTGCATCCCCCCAAATCATTTTTATTGTTTAAAAAAATCCCTGCACTGATCATACATACATAATGTAATTTTACCGCCTCCGATGGAGAGGTAGGGAGAGGTGGCGGTGGGGGGACCCGGAGGTTTTTAAAAAAATTTTTTTTTAAGGGAAGCAGAAAATTTGTGGGCTCTATTATTTTTACACCCAGCTTTATATCTGATGGCTCTTCTGTATTAAGAGTGTGGATGTCTGTGTGTAAATGTGTCTGGAAATAGATGTTTGTGCTCTGATGGCTACATTATTTATTTGGTGCTTTTTTTTTTTTCCCCCTGCAGTGGGTCGGCTCACCGTGTGGCTTGCACGGACCTTACATTTTCTACAAGGCTTTTCAATTCCACCTTGAAGGCAAACCAAGAATTTTGTCCCTTGGCGACTTTTTCTTTGTAAGATGTACGCCAAAGGATCCGATTTGCATAGCGGAGCTCCAGCTGTTGTGGGAAGAGAGGACCAGCCGGCAACTTTTATCCAGCTCTAAACTTTATTTCCTCCCAGAAGATACTCCCCAGGGCAGAAATAGCGACCATGGCGAGGTGGTAAACTTATATCTCCCTCTCTTCTTTCTTTATTATTTCCCCCTCGTAATGCTTATTACAGGGCAAGCTTGAAAATACTGTATTCACTTCTGCAGGCGAGCAGGATCGACTCCTTTTTTAAAGGGGTAGCGCCACTAGCTGGGGCTCGAGTATTTTGCCATTGTCAGAGTTTGGCTGTCAGCTTTACAAAGAGGATCCAACTGCTGATTTTAGTCAAGATCAGATAACTTGTTCGAGAAGGGTTTTGTTCAAGGATGTGTGTGTGTGTGTGTGTGTGTGTGTGTGTGTGTGTGTGTTCGTTCGCTTTCCTGCTACTGCTCCCTGAACATCACAAGCTTTTTATATATATATATATAATTTTTTTTTTTTTTTTTGCCTTTTGAAAACGTACCTTCGCGTCTGGCTCGGTCGGGGCTGGGTGGGTTTCTTTCGGTGGGTTTCGATATTGTTCAGGTTTTTTTTTTTTTTTTTTTTTGTAAGTAAGTATTTGATATGTTTAAGAGGGCGGAAATTACGAAATGGAGGCAGAGTGAGATCAAAAGCTATTGAGTTGGCAAAGACGTGTTGAATAAAGTGATAAATGACAGGTACTGGAATAATACATTCAAATAACTTGCAGATCTGCCCGGGCGGATTTCAAAGCGGTCGTGTAACCGGCACAAACACGTTAAGCATTAACAACTATCTCTCGCCCCCACCCCCTCCCCCTCGGTCAAGCCATTTGATGTTCTGGTTTCCAATTACTCCACGCCAAGTGGACGTCTTCCAGCGCAATCTGTGGGGATGTGTGGGACGGGGACCGGGAAGGGCAGGGCAGAGGGGTGTGTACTCGCCCACTGGCCCCGTGGGCTCGGCGTCCTCGGTGCCCAGACGGCGCTCCCGGGGAGGGTGCGGAGGGCCGAGCCTCCCCGGCACGTTTCTGGGCGGCCGCGGGGGCGCTCGCCGCGCTCCCGGGAGAACGCCGAGGTGAGCCCGCTGTCACCGGGCGCCGGGGCGGTCGCCTCCCTCCGGCTCTGTCCTTTGCTCTGTGCCCGCAGTTCTGCGAGCTCCCCTTGTCAGCTGACCGACCTCCGCGCCCTGGTACCTACCGGGGGAACTATTTTGGGGAGTGTGTGCCCACGGTGCGGCGGGGAGGAGGGGCGCAGCGCCGCCTGGCAAGGCTTTGTGTTGCCCAGGCGAGAGCAGGGTAATCAAACTGAGACTTTTGAGGCCAGCTAGCTCTGTGCCAGGCTCTCGAGCTTTCGAGGTAGGTGTAAGGATCTTTTTGTTAAATGAATGGTTCCCCGTGTAACTCCGCCCGGAGCTGGGAGCTGCCTGCCAGTCCTTCCAGAATTCCGTGGTCGGATGGAGTGGATGGTACTTTTGGCATCGCCAGTCCACTCCCTCTCCCCAGGATCGAATTACCCATCAGTGGGCATTGCCGGTTAATTACCGGAGTTCCTCAAGAACGTTCGCCCTCCGAGATCTGCCTCTTCGGAATAAGCCCGCCTCTCTCTCAGAACACCTCCCCCTGTCCCCCCCCCCCCCCGCCCTCCAGGGCCAGCTTAGGGGTTTTAAATGTTCACGTTTCCCGACGTCTGCCTGCAGTTTTATAAAGGTGTTGTTTGCAAATGCTGTGAAAAATCCTGCAACCTACCAACAGGTTGAGCTCTTTCCCCCTCCCGAGGTCTAGCTCGACCCCTCCCCCGACCCAACTTTCCTGCGCAGCTGTCTTCCTCCTCCCCCGCCCCCCCCTCCTGATTTCTTATTTGCTTTTCAAATTTATTACTTCAACATGGCCTGTGATCTGGAAAAGGGAAGGATTAAATATCCAGAAAAGAGCTGGTGCCTAATAGACTTCTGACTAAACCCAGAAGGAAATTATTCAGTGTTTTATGGGATATTTTGTGGTCACTTTTTTTTTTATTTTTGAATTGAAATTGGAAAAAATTTTAAAGACCCCACTTGGCCCGGTTTTAATTTCTGTTGGTGTAATTAAATAGTGAATTCTGATTTAAGAATAAAAGCCAATAATTTTAGTGGAAGGTTGCATCTGTTAGAACTGCTGATATTGAATAGATGTATTTTTAAATACAAGGTTTTAAAAAAAAATGTTCATTATGGGAAAATGAAAGTGAACCATTGTAATGATCTGTGTATTTTGTTACTGCTATATAAGCCATACCTGAGAAAATTAATCTTGCCATTTAAAAGTAAACTCTAGGGGATTTGGGGAGGGAGATGGCTCTATTTATAATCCTCAGCTGCATATACATCGTCTAATATTATGCATGATTTGTTTTTTAATGCTAACACGGCTGGTAATTAGCTGTATGATTATACTTGTATATTTCATTAGGACTTGGGCTGATGTCATTGTGAATTATTCAGCCATATTAAAACAATTTTCAATTGAGATAATGACACGCCTCAAAATTATGCAAATGCAGGCTGCATTGTGCAAAATAATTATGACAAATGTAAAGCAGGTAGAAAGTTTCCCAATGCAGATCGGTTTTCCACCCGGGTGATGTCATTTTCCCCCTGGCCTAAGTTAGTCATTCATTAGCAGAATAGCAGCAGCAGCCGCCTCTGGAGGAGAGCCTACAGAAACCAGCACTTACTGCTGGCACCTAGAGGGGGCAACAGGGCCCTCTCATTAAGAAATTTGCTTTGTTTTCACTTACTCCATTAACTTGTTTATATACAGTGAAATGATTTTTATTATGGATTTTGAATAGTTTTGAATGATGCATTTGCCATTTGCAATGTATAACTGAAAGAGAAAGGTTTCTTGGTGATGTGCATTGTTACTTGGAGAGAATGTTCAGCACATTTAATCAGCCAGTACAGTTTATTTTAAGTAACCAAATGGAGGTTAATAATTTCCTGATTGAGCTGACATCAGCATCCATTTCGAAAGGACAGCCAGGACTCAGTATGCTTTTTTGGCTTACGAGAACCAGTCTGTCTTTTTATGATTTCTTGAAGTGTAAATACGTCAGTTCTAAAAGCAGGAAAATTGTCATTGTGCAGAGATGACAAATAGCATCCCTGTGTGCTTTGCTATGATCGGCAAAGGGCTTTTCTGACGGCTATTTTCTTACTGACCTTTGTAATAGTTGTATGAGGCTGGATAGGCAGGATTGTGTTTGCCCATTTTACAGATGTAGACAAAAGCTTGCGGAGTTCATATGGTTTGTCAAAGGTTGCCGGGCTAGAAACTAGGCCTTTTAAAGCTTTAGGGCTGGTTTATTTTTCCACTGAAACCAGAGCTTGAGTACATCAGATTATGTTCTAGAAGTGCGTACTAATGTGAACAATTTCTTAAACATTTTGAACTATGACTGGTTAATCAGCTTTGCCAAAGGTCACCAGATGTTTAGGTGGCAGAACCATTTTTAATCTATAAAGTTCAGCTAATTCTAGCCAGTGGTCTATAACAAGAACAGTTACATTTTAATAACACTATTAATAACCATTAATACTTTATTATTGGTTTTAATAATTATGATAATGAGTTGCGTGCTTATATACATTGCTGCCTTCTTTTACTTCCAGAAAGAGTCACATCTTGATTCTGCAACTTACTATTTATATGATTATTGAATAATCATAAACACTCTGAACCTCAGTTTTTTCAGCAACAAAATGGGAGCAATAATCAGGTTGACTGGATTGTTGTGAGTATGAAGAGGCGTCGTATTGGCAAAAGTACTATATACACTGTAAATTCCTTAAATAAATAGAAAAGAGTTATGATTATGGTGACCTTTATTCTAGATATTCTTAATTTATAAACAATAAACATAATAATATTTATGTCTATGTGGAGTTTCCTGGGCCTAATCATGTTTTAAATGATCATGAAAGTGAATAGCAAAGCCATATGCAAGAGTGAAGTGTCTTCAGTAATTACCCACAATTGCCACATTCAGCCAGTAGCTCTTTAGAGGAGGAAAATGGCAAAGTAGGCGGGTAATTGGTTCTGTTACTGGGTATAACTTCTGATTACATTCATTTTCAAATTGCCAAGTGCTTGATCTATTGGCAATATACCCTCTTAAAATAGGTGGATGTGCAAGCATGGATTTCAGCCTGACAGTCCATGGCTGAATTCTGCAACGTTTCTGGTAATCTGCAACAGTGAGTGTACATGAGTAAACTAATGATGTCCGGGAGTCAAGATCAAGCACATCTGGGCATTATAGATTCTGGCACACAGGCAGGATTTCTAAAAGTGGTTTGATTCTCAGCCTCACCATGGGTTAAAAACAGTTTAAAATGCATACTCTGGAGCCAGCTATTGAAATTAACTCAAAGCCCTGGCTGAGTAATTCAGTTGGTTAGAGCATCATCCCCATATGCCAAGGTTGTGGGTTTGATCCCCCATCAGGGTACATACAAGGATCAACCAATGGATCCATAAATAAGTAGGACAAATTGATGTCTGTCTGTCTGTCTCTCTCTCTCTCTCTCTCTCTCTCTCTCCCCCCCCTTCCTCTCTCTCTCTCCAACTAAATTTAAAAATTAAAAAAAATAAATTTACTCAATTAGAATCTCTGGAATTGGGGTCCAGGATTCTGCTTTTTAAACAGTTTCACTCTAGCTGTGTGATCTTGGGCAAATTTTAAACTTCCTGTGCCTCAGTTTTCTCTTCTATAAAATGGGAATATAGTACCTACTTCTTAGGATTATTTGAAAGATTTAAACAAGTTAATACATGTAAAGTGCTTACAATGGAGGTTGGCACATAGTAGATTTTTCAATAATGTCATTATTATTTTCATTAACATTAGTGTTATTGTTATCATTGAAGTTTGAAATCACTACCACAGACCCTCCTAAAGAAAACTTTTCTCTGAAAGAATGGCATCAAGGTTAGTTTGCTAGAATATGTAGCTAATTCAGATCCCCCCAAATCAGGTTGGCTTTCACCTATATGGTGGGTTTAGTTGTGTTACCAAAATAAAAGGCTCCATAAGGATTTACATTTTAGTATTGATGAATGCTGACAA